GGTTGGGTGGGTGAGGTGGCATGTGGTGAGGTGGCATAGGGTGTTGTGTGGTGAGGTGTGGTGGGGTGGGGTGGGTTATGGAGGGGTGAGGTTGGGTGGGTGAGGTGGCATGTGGTGAGGTGGCATAGGGTGTTGTGTGGTGGGGTAGTTTGTGGCGGAGCAGGTGGAGGCATGAGAACGATCATGAGACAGTGTATGATCACTGCACTCATTAAACACTTTCCCACTTCTCATGGATTCGATTTTTCTTGACAAATAAATAAATTATCTAATGCTTCAGATTCAGATTCTACGTTAAGTTATTTTTCTCGACACCCAATCTCGACCCTAGTCATCGGCCTTGCCCCCAATAAGTGGAATGTGCCTTGGGAAGCAACGCTAACCTGCCATCCGATAACAATGCTAACACACAGACAGGGAGATCAAGACGGCAGTTAAATGGATTGCTAGAAAAAAACATCGGATGTGAAATTGATTAGTTACGGCATATGGGTTGCGTGAAACACAGGCTGTGTGAGGCACGGGTCACGTGAGACGCTGGTCGTGTGAGTGAGACATGGGTCGCTTGAGACAGGGGTCGTGTGAAACAGGGGTCACGCGAGACTAAGTACACGGCAGCCATTGAGCAGCAGCCACCTTCTAGTGAACATATGCTCAGCGTGGCTACAAACAGCTATATAATCTATAGCGCATAGCCATAGTAATAGCAATTTTTCACAAAGCACCAGCTGGATTTAGAATGAGCAAATATACAAGACCTCTCACGCTAGCGGCTGCTTCAGGAAAACAGCTACTGCATAAGACCGAATATATAGCTGCTTTTGTTGCAACATTTTTACGTAATCACCACAGATAGGGTTGCGATACACTTAAGTAGTCAGTAAGTTCAATTAAATATTGTATTCACATTGTTACCTCGATAGCCGTTGATAGACTGGTGGTGGGAGAGGAGGTTGCTGGTGCTGCCACCACCACCGCCGCCGCCGACGCTCGCCGCCATCTTGATTGGCTTCTGCTCCACCGCAGCACCTTAACGACGCATCCAACTAGCATTAGTTCATCCTCAGCTTCCGTGCATGACTCACGCATGCTCGTCACAAACACAAGACTCCGAGCATAACGTGCGGAAAATGACCGAATGAAAACGTCCAGCATGGAATCGTCCATATTACTTCTCTGGCCTAGTTATCCACAAAGATGAATGTGATAGTTAATAGGATATGTGATATGCATATTTGGCATACGAACGAGTGTATGTGTGTCGATGAAAGATGAAAAGTTTAGATGAAGAAGAAGAGGTACCTGGAAGGGTGACACAAGTAGCAGGGTGCTACGAGGGAAGAGGCAGAAGATGTGACATTATAGGAAGGAAAAACAAGGGGAAGCTAGACATGGGGGCGAGCAGATGGACGAAATGTGTAAGGGAACGAGGGCCTGTATGAGGAAGGGAATACCTCGCAGAAAAAAATTAGGAAAGGGGTAGAAAGGGGATACGTAGGAAGGCCCTGTAAACTTATAAAGCAAAGGCACTTGGAAAAACACAACCCAGGAGAGAGGAGAGCGGGGAGAACGAGTGAAGAGAGCAGGGAGGGAGTATATGAAATAGAAGAGAATGAGTAAGGGGAACAGAGAAACGAGAATGAATATGACCGATGATGGGCACAGTGACGATGTGTGGATCCCCCCCCCCCGCTTGCGTCGTTAACGCCCGGGTGTGTGTGTGTGCGCGTGTGGCAAACACTGTACAGCCTCTCACCTGTCTCGTTAACGGGAGCGACATTACCCACGTCCTCCTGAACCTCACAGCTGGCAGCAGGCAGGCTCAGTCCAGCCTTCTTCAGAAACGGACATGCTTCTGAGAATGAGAGAGCAGTAGAAATGACTCAGCAGAGGGCGCTGTGCAGTAGAAATGAAACAGCAGAGGGCGCTGTGCTGTAAAAATGAAACAGCAGAGGGCGCTGTGCTGTAAAAATGAAACAGCAGGGGGCGCTGTGCTACCTGTGGCGGACACCGTGCGCTGCGCGAGTGCGGATGAGACACTGAGTGGTCGGGCGAAGCTCATGCGATTCGCGCTCCAACCTTCACATCGCAGGAGAAAAACAAACTGGGTTAAAACCACGCAGCGTGCATACCTACCAGCATGCTTCACAGTGAGCCAACATATCTTACTGGAGGGATACGTTGGTATATAATTAGTAATACAGGTCAACTGGTCTAGTGTCATACGTATAATTAAAACAAACACGATAAATAATCACACCGTACACGATATATAAATGAAGAAATTCAATATCCAGTAGGGCCTCAACATGCTGCTGGCGTCATGAAACACGAGAAATCAATGAATACTAGCGAATGTGGCGGAAAGTATCGAAAATCAGAGAAACTATTTAAATCAACATGGGAGATGACAGACAGAACAAAATCGGCCAAACAAAGTGTGGTCGAGTGGGAGAAAACTGTGACGGGGTGTGGCAACTCCCATAATATAACACGTGAGTGACACAGACATAACAAGTCTCCAGACAAAATCACCCACGAGATACTCTGACAGGCAGATGGGGAGGTTTACTAACGACCCCCACCCCCCACATCACCCCACCACTAACATCACCAGCCCATCATCCTCCTTAATTCCACTCTCACGTTTCTTGGTATATTTTCAGAACATGGCTAGGTTGATATGATGTTTTGGCTGCCATCAATGTATACGGGCCCAGCCACACACGTGTGTTTTTGCTGAATAACATTTTCTGAAATCACACTGCAACATCGGAACGACCCTCGCATCACGCACGCGTTAAATGCAATCGCTTAAGTGTATTTATGACGCATCTTACGTGGGATAACTAAGAAACGATGATCGAAGTAACTGAGTACGTATCTGATAACTTATATGATATCTACGATATCTGCATAAGTGCGTTCGCTGCAATCTTCTGGTACCGGCTGAATCTAGTGCCAGACTGTTCCCTAATCTCTCACTCGTCCAGTCGGCTACACTTGACCAGTTATTCGGCTGCCTTTAAGATTGCGATGCCTGGATGACCTTGCAGGTAGAAGTTGTAGGTAGGGCAAGCTATTAGACTGCCTATAATTACAGCTCTACACCGCACGTGGGGATCGGCTGGC